TTCCTTCCTTCCTTCCTTCCTTCCTTCCTTCCTTCCTTCCTTCCTTCTTTCCCTTTGTTCCTTCTTTCCCTGCATTCCTTCCTTCTCTTCCCTTGCCTGCCTTGCCTTCCCTTGCCTTGCCTTACCTTCCTGCTATGTGAGTTAGAAATCCCCACTTACTGGGAATGAGCAATGGGGCACTGGTGATACATCAGGGACAACTTCTCATTCAGAAACCTGGTGGACCTTTGAGGTAATTTTCTCCTGTGAGATTCTGGACACTGTGAACTGGTAAAAATTTTACAGGGTGCTGACATTTTTAAAATCCTTTCCAGCTCCCCATCCTCGAGTACTGTCTTTTCAGTTGCCTGTGTCTCAGCTCTATGCATTTCTTTTCAGCATTTCTACCTCCTCTTCTTTTTGGTTTAACTGTAGACACACTGACCAAAACAAGAAGGATTCACTTCTCCTGTCTGACCTAATCTTGTTACTTGCCCAGAATCCCTTGGCCTCCCTCACCAGCCTTCCTTTACTCATACCTGTTGAAGCCCTCACCTTCCCTTCCCTTCCCGAGGCAGCCGACCCCGCTGGAGAAAATCATGAAATCATGCAGATTTCCACGCATTTACAAATTTACTGCGTATGACCTTAGATGGGCCCTCTGTACCACTCAACCATCCTCCCACTCTATGCTAATTGATGCCCTTTCTCATCCTCACTGTCAAATTTAATGGAACAGTAACAGCATTTTCAAATTGGACTGTTTTTGAATTCACTGTTTCTACACTCACTGAAATTGGGTTTCTTTGATCATTTGTGCTCAAAATCATTTTTTATTCGTAGGCCTTGAACTTGGTGGGGGTAAGCGTTCCACCAAGGTGGCTTCTAGCTTCTCTAAGCTCCAAGAGTGTAGGGTTTCTTGAGTTGTGCCTAAACAGAAAGTCTTCACTTTATGGCTAGCCTTCTGAGAGCGAGTCCCTTTAAACTGCTCTAGGCTGATTCACAAATGGGCCCAGAAGGGCAGCTAAGTGGTGTAGTGGATAAAAAAATCAGTCCTGGAGTCAAGAGGACTTGAGTTCAAATTTGCCCTCAGATACTGCCTACCTGTGCGACCCTGGGCACTCACTTAACCCTGTTTGCCTCAGTTTCCTCACCTGTAAAATGAGCCAGAGAAGGAAATGGCAAACCCCTCCAGTATCTCTGCTAAGAAAACCTCAAATGGGGTCATGAAGCGTCAGACATGGCTGAAAACATGGCTAAATAACAACAAAAATAGAGATAGAGAGACTAGGTTAGCTAAAAGTTTTTTTTTTTTAAATGTCAGCTCCCTGTAAAATTTTCACTAGTTCACAGTGTCCAGAATCTCAGAGTAGAAAACGACCTCGAAGGTCCACCAGGTTCCGGATTACGAAGCTCTCGCTGCCATATCCTGCTCATTCCAGCCTCCACTTGAAGATTTCTGGTGAGGAAGCCTCCCTAAGGCGTTCTAGTTGCCATTTTTGGACCACTCTATTCACCTGGTTTGTTTTATGCTGAATTAGGGTCTGCCCCTCTGTAGCTTTCTACCCATGGCTTGCTCTTCTTTCCTTGGGCCAAGCAGAATAAGTACAGTTATCCCTTCCACATTGGGATTTTCCCATTGTGGTTTTGATATGTCATGGGTCGGCATAAGAAATTAAATGGGAATTTTTTGGGAGTTTTGCAGAAGCTGCAGATGACACATGAAGGCCAGCAGATGACACAGAAAATG